CGCTCACCATCACCAACCGCTTTACGCAGATGGTCCAGAAGGGCGCGCACTGATTGAAGGACACCGTCCTCAAGGACAATTAGCCTACCACATATTCTTTATGCTCCCGGTGTACGTCCAGGAGGATGTTTTACTGCTCTTTAGGGGTGTGGTGAACCCTTTCACTCCTGCGGAAAAAAAGTACCTAAAGCCCTTTCTCATAGACTCTAACATTTATTGATATGTGTATCGCTGTTGTACTAATACAGCCAGCAAAGAACGATTATTTCTGCAGTACTGGCAGTTTCCAGTACTGACTGTCCAAATCTGTAAACCTGACTGTTTAATTGTGACTTCAAATAAATCAGAAGTTTCAATGAAACAACCGTGAATGTTCTTCTGTTTTGCAAAAGAACACAACATTTGTGAGCTGTTTTTTTTATTTTTTTATTAAAAGAAGATATTTGAAAGCTTTGTTTTGTAGGGATTTGCTGTGTATTGGCACCATATCCAATATCGGCTAATACTCTATATTTAATTGTTATCTCTGCCTTGGTTTAGATCATCATCTGGCAACTTCAAGGATTGGTGATAGATTATGGCAAAAATATATCCCTTTAAATGTACTTTCTTTTGAATCACGAAAACACGGTGGAGAAGCTCTGGAGGTCAATATCTCTTTCTGCACAGATGTTGTGCTTGCTTGTGCATTTCTGCACAACATCTGTGTCACCAGCGGAGATATTCTGGAGCCAGAGGACGATCCCACTGATGCTGATGATGATGAACCAACTCTACCAGAGGACAGAGAGGGCCTGCAAGAAAGGAGTGGAGCTCACATGAGGGACAGACTGTGCGCTCAAGTGTCTGCTGCTGACACTCTGGCTCCACAGTTGTTGGATCATGATTATTTGTAATCAGGGATGCAACAAGATTACTTTCTTAACAGCTTCCAAAACTCCTGGAAAAATGTGTTGAGAGAGAGAGAGAGAGAGAGAGACTTTAAACACTTAAAAAGATATATGTAAATAGTTTAAATTTATTTTTAATGTTTACATTATAATATAGAAGTTTAATTCCAGTCTAAGTTAGACCATAAGTTATGGTTACTTATGGTTTTGGTTACTTCAGTACTGTTGTACTTTTTTTGTTTATCTCAAACACCAGTTATTGAACAATGATTAAACAACTGAATCTATACATTTGCTTGTCATTCCTTTGTTTTCTTGTCTGATAGACTAATAATAAGCTGATGATTTGAATCAGGAATGGTGGATAAGGGAAACATCTAAAAGGTGTAGTGTCTGGGTTCTTCGAGAAACAGGATAGGGGAAACACTGCCATGAACACATTTGAAAAGTAAGAGAGAAACTGGCTATTATTTTCATATATGCTTTTTATTTGTCAACACAGAATTGTTATTAGTATAGCATGACACACTGACTGATAATAAACTAAAAAATGAAATGTCAACCAGTGATAAGAATTTAAAGAAACAAGATAAGAAACAAAAAGTCTATTCACATTTTCTCAACTATTTTTGTAAAAATATTCAATAACGTGTCTATCTGTCTTGAGGTCTGTTCTACTCTCCTTTCCTCTCTGTCTAACTCCTCCTTTTGTCGTTTTTTCTTCGTTTTCTTCCTTTTCCCTGAGAAACTCAAGCACTTCATTTCTTTGCTTTCTTTTACGTGGACTTTTCCACTCTGATTTCTCTTGCATTCCAGATGGCCCAGGCTCAGCTTCTGTGGACTGGGTGCCTGCTGCTGAGGACTGGTTATCTCCTGGTGGAGTAACAGAAGGCCTGCCCCCTATAGTCTCATCCATGGCTGCATAGAACAGCCATGTACCTGCTGTCTCCTCGCCTCCTTCTGTCCCTGACCCCGTCATCTTTGATTTCTGTTTAATGTCCTATAAAGCAATTAAGAGATATACCATACATACAATTTTAGTACAAAAAATAAGCATACAAAATCATTCTAAAGTGTATCAGATTTAACTTTAATTAACTGAATAAAAGAACTACATATATTTACAGATTGTCCTGATTAAATGACCATGCACAAGTTGTGTTTTGGATGCTGTTGTGTCCCAATGGCCCCTTGACTAGCTGAATCAGCAACACTTCCTTGGCCAACTAGCTTCTGCAGCTAAGGTTTGTTGGTTAAGCTACTCAAGAGGTCATATCTGCTGAACATTATAGAAAAACTAAGTGCCACGGATATTTGTAAATGCACAGTACGATCAGGTTCTCCCATTTCCTTTTGGCCTGGTCACAAGTCACCATGCAGTCTAAACCCATTTCACCTAAAATGTGTCTAAAGACGGGAGACAGCAACTGGCAAAAACTTATTTTTATGAACTGTTTAATTTACATTTTTATGTTTTGCCATTAAATAAAATGCAAACTTCAACTGTCTGAAATGAACATTAGCTGGACATAAAGATCATTATCTACACTTACCTGAAACCTTCAGATGCAGAATTCTTTGCACCTGTAAACATCTCTTCATTTTCTGAATGCAACTTTATAAATGTTAATGTTTGTTCAGCAGTCCCTAACAAACCACACAATTTAATTTAACGTTTCGAATTACGTGATAAAAAGCAGTTTCAAACGTTTTATAAAATACAGAACCTAAATGTGCAACACTTTACGTTTTATTAACAACTTATATGTAATATGTAATTATTTAACTTACACTGGAAAGTTTTCCGCGACATCTCACGAGGTCTGGCCAAAAAATCTAACGATTTATATCTAGAACATGATGCATGATGGGATACGCTTAGCCTCGAAAACCGCTCCGAAGCGGTATTCAAGATAGTGTGGGTTTAGTGTGCGTTAAGGGCACTGCACTTGGGCAATTTTAAGACATGGGACAGTCTTGCGCACTTACTTCCTGTCGCGTGCACGCGCTCTCAAGTGGCCAAGATCGCAAGTGTGGGTATTTGGACAAAGCCTGTGTACTTGGAACACTAGCTTGTGATGTAGAATTCAGTCTCAGTCTTATCAAGGATGTCCAATAATATGCCTCAGTTCTCTCTTCAAACATCTTCTTCAAAAGAGAGCCCTTTGAAAAAAAAAACATACCAGATATTGTGGCAAGATATGCAGAAGAATGATCAAAGAGTATTTTCAGAATGGTTGACTTATAAAAAAAAATCCTTATCCCATTTTCCATTTTTCTGACTCTGCATATGGTTATTTTCATGTATTATCCTTTTGTGATAATGAATCTACTGGATTAAAAAACATTCGGATATAATAGTTTAATGTAGGAAACAGTATCTGGCAAAAATCCTCATATCTTTTTTTATTTTATTTAAGGTCCCTAACCTTCAAAAAGACCCACTGTATGTACTTATGCCAGGCTGAAGCTTCAAGATCAACAACTTCTTAATTAAAACTTGTGTATAATAGGATCTAAATCTGGTATGATCTGTGTCAAAAAATCTGGCATGTCTGTGCCATCTCTCTCTTCCTGTGTCAGTCTGACAGAGTGAAAGAGACCTAGTGTCTGAAGCTTCACTGTACACGTTGAGCCTGACACCTCAGAGAAATCCATCCTGGTTTGGCCCCTCTCCATTCTCTGTCAGAGTGCTGCTGTCAATGATACGTTCATTATTTCCTCTGAAATCTGTAGTATTTAAGAGATTAGGAACTCTGTGTCAATGAGGTCAAGTGTTTCACACAGCTAACAAAATAGCATGTTAAAATTATAATAAAAATGTTGTTATTATGGTTTCAACTAGCTGTGTCACACTTACTGGTGACAGCTTAATTCTCATTGGTTTAAACAACAGTGATGTTTTGTTATAATGGATGGAAATAAATTACTTTAGTTGTCTTGTTCATATGTATTTTCATATAAAAGTAACAATTTAAATTACATCCAAGTTATTAGCAACTAAGCACATCAGTGTGAATCATGTGATGTTCACCTTCAATCTTAAATGAGCATGATGATGTTGACTGCATCTGAAATCCCACACTTCCCTACCATATAGTAGAAAAACAATATGTGAAAAGAGTATATCTGAATTCACAGTATTCACAAAACAGTAGGTGAAAAATACCTGGATAAACTACTACTTCCAGTGAAATTCTAAAATACGATGGACACCTTGGGCGTGTCCCACTATATTCTCACTTGAGAGCGTGTGTACACAGCAGGAAGTAAGAGCGCAAAGCTGTTCCAGTTCTGAAAAATAAGCTCAGTGCCATTACTGCACAGTCTGAGCATATCCCATCATTCATCACATTCAGTACCTCAAGTGAAATTGTGAGATGTCGAGAAAAACTTTGCAGTGTAAGTTAATTTAATTCAATATTATATATAATTTGTGTAAAACGTAAAGTGTACATATTTTATTGGTACAGAGATAAGTATTTTTGTGTTATGTGTGTCTATGTGTTTTTTTGTAAAAGGTTTGCAACTGCTTTTTATCACTTAATTAGAAGCACAACAATGCTTCTAACTACTGAACAGAAATTTAGAATTAATTTTAAAGTGCAAAGTATTAGTTAAAGTATTAAAGTATTTGTATGTGTGTAGGGTAAACATTTAAATTTGGGTATGCCAAATCTAGACGGAAACCCCCTAAATAACCCCAGTGCTTAAGGAGTTAAATGTACAAAATGTGTAAATAAAGCTCTGTTAAAAAATGTACTTGCACTTTTACAACACTATGCTGTAAGTGTGTTCAAAAGTTATAAGCACTTGCAGTCTTCTTCACTACAGATATGTATATGGTTTTCACTTTTCACGTCCTTTTGAACACGGGAAACATGTCAGGCACGCAGTTTCAATGAGGGAGCCAGCTGTGAACTCAGTAACGATTCCTACCGATTCACTGGCTCAGAGTGAGCCTGCTTTCAAACCGCTAAAACACCTCACCATCGAGTTCGAGTCTTTTTTGACTGACTCCTTAAAAAGAACCGGTTCATAAGAGCGTTTGTTCATGAATCGGACATCGCTGCTCTCGCAGTGTTCGCCACTGCGCGCGGTAAACATTAGCTCGTAAGTTACTTCAAATAGATGACTTGACGAAAAACCACTCAAGGATGCACACGAAACTTTCTTGGCTGAGTGTTAAACTCCTGTCGCATTTGCGACTGCTATAATTGCAGTTTGGACCTGGTATTGTGGCAAAAACAACAGTAACTGCAGCGATTGCCTTTCTACACAGTCATTAAAGAAGCTGACATGATACAAGATTTACGCTGCCGTCATTGCAACATTCATCACCTCATGTGCTTTCTGACAGCAGATGACAGACAGATTCCCATGATATATGGCAACATTTCCCAGACTGAAAAGACAGCGTGTACCCTGAAGGCATTCTTCATCTTGGCAAGATCTTAAATACAGTCCACAAACCCAAGCAATGACGCTATGTTGTACCTGAGGTCAGACCAGGCCTTGTGTTTATCTAGGGCAGATGTTCATATCCTTGACTCCTTTCATTGATATGTTTTTGCTGTAAGTGTCTTTGTTATGGGTGACCTCACCTGAGCACATGAAGAGAATTAAGTCATTATTAAAGCCATTAGTTGCTGCAGGGCTTCTCCACCCAGCAGGTGAGCAGATTTTGTTTGACTTTGTTATGTGTTTCTATGTGTTGTAATGCCTCTCAGCATTATGAATGTCTTGAAGGTACTGACTCAGGACTTCTGTTCTCCAGGCAGGGAATTGTATTCATTGTAATACCTCAGAATATGTGCAACGCATATGTAATTTTTCAATGTTACCACTAGGGTTCACTGTTCCTGCAACCATCTGTGTCCTGCTAGGTTGTAAAAAACTTCTTCTGACAGTTGTGTTGACAATATAATCCACTTAAGTTATGGATATATAGACTACAGACACTGTTCAAATGGGACAGCCATGTGGACTATATAAGGAGCAGCCCGAATATAATCATAACTTGAGCATTAATCCTAACAGTGTTTTTTCTCACTTCTTTTCTCTATATATGGTTCTGTTTTATTTCATTGGTTGATTTTCATTCAAATAGTTTAGCATAACAGTATGGAAAGGATTGATGGCTCGTCCCTGGTGGCTAATATAATGTGTTTTACTCTTTAAAAACAAGCATTCAAAAATTAATGACGTGGTGCTTTATGATGCAGTTATCTTGGCCAACCAAGTACTTTAGAGTTTAACAACATTCCTTTCATTCCTCAGAGCAGATATAAACTTATATGACATGTAGAACGCTTGATGATTTTACCATCTTTACTTGCCAACATGTTGCAACCTCTAAATGGTCAATCCGAGAGGACAGGGTGCCTGAAAACAGATGTTTATGGCTATTTCAAGTCGTTATTTACCATAATATGAAAGAACATACAGTAGGCACACCCTGGGGAAAAAAGATAGTGTGGGCAAAGAGGTGTACCATACTGCAAAATATAGCAAACTTCACTCATGGATGGACATGGCGCCAGATTTCAGAAGACGAGGAAGAATTAGAACTTGCTGCCTTGTGTTATAAAGTGTCTTAAGCTTTTGTTTAAATCCACAAAAGTTCTTTTAACCGTCATCATGTCGTCTCTTTCTCGCAAAGAGGATGTATGCTTTGCAAGTCGTAAACAACAATCCTCGTCTCTTTCCTTGCTCTCCTCTCGTTCTTCCTCTCACACTGTTTTTCCTCTCTGTGACTCGGTTTTATTCCTTTGAATCTATTTTATCGTCATAAGCAGAGCCACACAGGCTACCGTGATGAGAAACAAAGATCCATGGCAGTTTATGTGCGTGTGTGAGAGAGGGATGATATTTTGGCTGAAGGAGGCCATCTGAACTCACTGTTCTCTTGAAACAGTTCACTCCACTCCACTGTGTTTGTAGAGCCTGGCCTTGTGGGTGATTGAGGATTGGTGTCCAGATGTGAACGATTTAAGTAGAACATTGTCCAGCATGCATAAACCTGGCTGTGTGTGTTAAATCCAGTAGCACATTCCTCATCTCTTCAATCTTTATGCAACCTTAAGAAATCTTACCCATCTCTTTTCATCTGTTTATGTTTATGTGTCCGTATTCGGGCATTGCAAAAGAACAGCTTGTGAATATCTTTCCCTCCCGTTTAATCCTCAGGCAGCCAAGCACTGATATTGATAATGTATTGTTTTCCCCCTTTAAATGTGTATA